GCCCCCGCCCTGTTTCGCCCTCCTTCTTCCCACCTTCTCTTCCCCGCAGCTCTCTGTCGGACTGTCTCCGAGACAGCTTCGACTTGTTTCAGAAAGCTGAAAGCCGCTGACGTATGTTCCGACTCTTCTGACCCAACCAAATATGTTCTGGGTCCTCTGACTTAGATCGCTGGTGTTCTCTTTGGTGCCACTATGTTTGCAGGTAGAGAGACGGAAAGCGACTCTTTTCGACATAGTCAAGCTATTTCAGGTCTGTCTTTGTACCACTATATAATGTGCCCTTTTGCTCACTCTAGGGTCTAAAGACTCTGAACCCTAAGACTGGCCCTGACATCCTTTCAGTTGGTAGTTTGAGACACTTCATCGTGTCGACATTGTTTGAAATCTGGCAATTTCACTACAAGTTGCTCCAGCTTGAGCAAGATTGTGGAGCAGAGTCCACTGGAGGGGCTCTTACACCAGGTCCTTATCGCAGGGCGCAAGGGTATCATTGGGATGAGAACTTCGCTCCAGAGACCCTTGCCGGGACTTCCGCCGGTCATTTTCCTGTCTTCTGTAGCAAGTCTCATATTGTGTCCTCCATTTGAGGTCTTCCGTTGCATTTTGATTATCTTGCTTTGTTAAAACTTAGCTTAAGTTTTTTCTTAAGTTTTTTTGTAGTTTCTTAAGGGATCCTCTTCCTAAGTTCTGTTTATTAATCAGCACAGGACTTCCCTCCTTGTGTTTAATCCATGCAGCAGTCATTGTAAAAATACTAAACATAGTTTTTAAGTACCAGATAAGTTAATGTTTTTCTGATATTGCTGTTGATGCCCGCCCCCCCCTCGCTCCCCCCCTTTAGAGGCGACAGCTTTGGCCGTGTTTTTCCAGAGCCCAACCGGATGTTTCTATTTGCACCTCAGTAGTCCTAAAAGGCGACCTTCGCTTGTTGCTGTTTCTAGTTTTCCATTGAAAAGCTTTGCGTTCCAGGTTTGCAAAATTTCATCGGGGGTTTACCATGACAGTCGGTTCTCATTCTAGGTCTTCCATTTCTCATTCTAGTTTTTTCATTTCAGGCCTTCCTTTCCAGGTCTTGCATTGCAGGATGTCTCATTCCACGTTGGTTCTCATCTGCTTAACCGCAAGTTCCCTCCTTTGTTCCAGGTTTCCCATAGCTGGTGTGTAGTTGCAAACGTTGGTTAATAATGCCATGTATGCAGCGTTGAAACTGGGCCCAAGCTTTGACTTGGACTGGAACCAGAGAGCTTCCTGCATGGTCATTACAAAGTTCGACAAACTCACCACCCACACCCGCCAACTTGTGTGCAATCTCTTTACAAGGTCTTCACTGAAAGTGAATAAAGCCCATTGGTTTCTCAATTTCTCACCCTCTGGGTGTTTTTTTTTTTTTTTTTTTTTTTTTTTTTTGTGTGTGTGTGTGTGTGTGTAAAGCTAGGCTCCAAGAGTGGCCCAGCCTGGCCAGCCCTCCCCAGGCG